GCCGGACCACGGCCCCATGGTCACCAGCACTTGTAAATTATCCCCAGCCCTCACTTATAGCTAACACTTCACAGATCTGTATCGAGGAGCCCTCTTCGGTCAGGTTGGAGAGACCAGGGACAGATAATAGCTGAGGGAAACTTGGACTAACACATTCCCAGGAAGCGTGTTTGGCTTAGGTATCTTTGAAACAGAGAGAGAAATCAGGGTACGTCTACACAGCAGCCTTATTTTGGAATAACTGACATTGCGCGTGTCTACACAGCAAGCCGTTATTTCGGAATAACTGATGTTATTTGGACATAACATGGTGCGTGTCTATGCAGCAGCGTTATTAAGGAACATCCGACGTTATTTCGAAAAAAAATCGTGTACGTCTACGCAGCTGTCCGTTATTTCGAAATAACATCGTGCGTGTCTACACAGCTGGCTGTTACTTCGAAATAACTGACGTTATTTGGACGTAACATGGTGCGTGTCTACGCAGCAGCGTTATTAAGGAACAACCAACGTTATTTCAAAAAAACATCGTGTGCGTCTACGCAGCTGGCCGTTATTTCGAAATAACATCGTGCGTGTCTACACAGCTGGCTGTTACTTCGAAATAACAAAGAGCGTGTCTATGCAGCAAGCCGTTATTTCGAAATAACATTGCGTTGGGGGACTTCTTTCTCCGACTCCTGTTGCCCTCATTTCACGAGGAGTAAGGGAAGTCGCCAGAAGTGTGTTCTTCCTTCGACTTCCTGCTGCGTAGATAGCGCCAAAAGCCAAATTCTGCTAGTCCGGCTTCAGCTCGGCAATTGACGTAGCAGAAGTTGCGTGTCTTCTTCGACTTTTGCTCTGCGGTGTAGACGTGCCCTCAGTGAACGATATGTGTGGTTGGAGGGAATTTGGATTGCCTTCTGAGGAGATATGTCTTCTGCCAGCACTGAATCTCTTCAGGTTAAGTAGTAGGGTACGGAGCCATCTTTGTGCACGTCGGACCAGACAGATTTTTCCAGGGCAGTCTCGTTGATAATTTTTGTCACTGTGCTTTGTTTCTTTCCAGGTGACCCGATGGCTTCCAGACCACCTCGCGAGATTTTTCCAGGGCTGTCTCGTTGACAATTTTTGTCGCTGTGCTTTGTTTCTTCCCAGATGACCCGATGGCTTCCAGACCACCTCGCGGCACACTGCTATGGCTGCGACAGTACCTTCTGGCTGGCCAGCAGGAAGCACCACTGCAGGTAAGCTGTCCATGGAAAGTCCCGGGATCCAATCTCGTTTGGGTTCCCAGTTCAATTGCGACATCTCTTTCCGAACCCACACCTGCTCTTGGCTCTGGGCCTGTTCCGACTGAGTCGGCCTTCTGTGTCCCTAAAATTGGGATTCCGAGACAGTCGGCTCTTTGCTAGCACGTTTAAATGTTCGAAAATAGGGCCTACGCCTTTTCCCTTTCTGCACAACCAGCCTAGGAATCGGATCTTGTTCAGTTGCCGGCTGGGCATCTGCTGCTTTCTGTCTTTTTCCTCCACCCTCACCTCCTCTTCTCACCCAACCCCCAGTTGCTTGGGGGAAAGGATTTTGAAATGGACACATACCTCATTTGTTCGACCTTAGCCAAAACCTTTTGCTGGCAAGGGAGCATGCTAGATAGCACCAGCAGTTTAAGAAAGGGCAGGCGGCCCTGGCCTATTGATTAGGTAACATCTTGGCCTGGACAGAGAATCCCAGGTGGTCCTTTGAGTGTTGGTCCCTATTGTGTTCCACTAAGGGCGATGTACGTGCATCCGGAGCTTTTCAAGGTATCGTTGGTCCACACGTGTACCCTTGCATCGCCTTGTAGGTTGGTCCAAAGGGTGGGGTTAAAAAAAGAGCTAGATAAATCCATGGAGGTTAGGTCCATCAATGGCTTTTAGCCAGGATGGGTGGGAGTGGTATCCCATGCCTCTGTTTGCCAGAAGCTGGGAATTGGTGGCAGTAGTGGGATCACTGGATGATTCCCTGTTCTGTTCACTCCCTCTGGGGCACCTGGCATTGGCTGCTGTTGGCAGACAAGGATCCTGGGATAGACAGACTTTTGGTCTGACCCAGTCTGGCTGTTCTTATGACTGACTGCGTCTTCTGTTCAACTTGGGATGCCTCACTGGTGGTTTCCCCATCAAACAACTCCCACCTCAGCCCCCTTTCAGCACCCCCCCCCCGTACACACGGACGGGAAACCTGCAATTCTCCCCGTATCGACCTATGCAATCTGCCATCAGTAACGGTGCTATAGACTGTGTGCTGTGGCCTAGCCACGAACCATGCGCAGAAGCACCGTAGTAAGTCATCCTCCACATCTCAAAAAGACCGTTGCGTCGACCGAGAAGCAATGCGTTCCAAGGCACGACTCTTCCCCCGGTCCACCAGTCCCAGTTCTGCACCCACATATCCCTCCTGCAACAGCTTTGCCGGCATCCTATGTGTCACTGGTCCTGAGATAGATTGGTCTTGGTTCTGCCTAGGGATCAGGTCCCGTTGTCTCCGTGGGAGACTTGGAAGTGCTCCCGAACTGTCCTCTCTGCAAACAGTGAGATCCCCACTTGTTCTCACGCACGCGAGGGTCCCGTCTCCCGTTAGATCCCCCCCAATCACTTAAACCCTTTTAACTCGTTCCAATGGGTCTGTTGGCGCCCAATGGCTCTTTAGACTCTTTCCTCTATCTGAAGATCTCATAGCTCAATCTGCAGTAATGTAGTAGAGGGACATTCAGTATTTACCGATCCCCTGACAGTACGATTCTGGAAGGGCCTTAGGCTGAACGAACAGGTATTTACACGTATCACTCCTCAATCTAGATGTCACCTCCGTTAATGACCTTTCCTTTTGATCCTCTGGCTTCCTGCCTGCTGTCCTCACGGCCCTTACCTTGCCCGCAGAGGGAAAACCTTCTTTCCTCACATTCCGTAAGGTTTCTGATTTCTACGTGAAACGGTTTTCCAGCTCAACCTCAACAAACCAGTACATTAAGGGATAGGCCCTCTCCACTCTGAGAATTAATCATAGAATCATAGAATACTAGGACTGGAAGGGACCTCGAGAGGTCATCGAATCCAGTCCCCTGCCCTCGTGGCAGGACCAAGTACTGTCTAGACCATCCCTGATAGACATTCCCAAGTCTGGGGAATTCCCAATACAATTCCCAAGTAGATCTCAGAATGTATTGTTCGCTGCCACCGATAGTTGGGATGATCCTACCTGGGACTTTCCGTGGAATACAATAGGGATTCACTCACTCAGAAGTAGAGGTGGTTACTTCCCTCCAATGTGAGGTTCTTTGAGATGTACAATCCCTATCTGCATGGCTTGCTGGACCATGGCGAGCCCTGCTCGCCAGCTGCACTGTCCGGCGATCTACGCATGCGCAGATCGCCCAAACCCTGCTCTTCCAGGTTACAATCTACTCGCCATGGGTGAGTAAATTGTATTATTTGTCAAGCCCTGCCTATCTGTATTCCAGACCCACCTTCCCTCCCTCTGCTTGGTATGTCTGCTCTAGAGAAGGAACTGGAGATGCAGTCGGTTTGACCTAACGTTTATTGCCTCGGGCGAAATTATGGAGTGATACAAGGGCATATGATGAGTAATACTCTTTTGAAAAGCTCCAACTCTGGGAATGTGGCACATGTGCGTAACTCTTAGTGGAGTACGGTTAGGGGTTAGACACCACCGAACTTCCAGTTCAGGTACGGAACGCCTTCTTTGGAAGGCATATCGTCAGAGAACAAAGAGGTACCGAATCCTGTTGCTGGATACACAACCTTCTTTGTAAGGCGTATCGTCAGGGAACAAAGAGGTACCGAATCCTGTTGCTGGATACACAGACAAGAGGATCGGAGAAGTTAGCACGAAAACAGGTGGCGATCATCTGTGTTTGCGGCTGTGTTGCCCTTTGAAGGAGCAAGTTGTAAAAGCGGCTGCTGTGCGTTGTGTCCATTTTTATATTGTCCTATTGAGAAGATAGATAAACCCAGTGAAGACAACGAACAGTCCTGTGGCACCTCCTACTAACGGGAAGATCAGTGCTGTGGCGATTGATCATCTGGTGTTCAATTTAGCTGGTCTAGTAAAGACCGGCTAAATCGAACACGAAGGGTGCGGTACTTCTTATGTCACAAGGAGTAAAGGAAGTTGACGGGAGCATTTCTCCTGTCAACTTCCTACTGTGAGAACAGTGGCAAAGTTTGGCTTAAGGTACGTCGAGTCCAGCAAAATTGTTTACATAGCTGGAATTGCGTCCCTTAAGCCCACCTTCCCTTGTAGTATAGACCTGGCCGTAGAGATTAATACATTTATTTATTTGTTAGTCTCTTAGGGTATGTCTACACAGCAAAGTTATTTCGAAATCACAGGCGTGATTTCGAAATAACTTTCCTAGCATCTACACAAGCCAATTGCTATTTCGAAATTAATTTGAAATAGCGGAGGGCTTATTTCGAAATTGGTAAACCTCATTCCACGAGGAATAGCGCAAATTTCAAAATTGCTATTTCGAAATAAGTGCTATGTAGATGCTTATTTCGAAATAGGGGGCCTCCAGCCCTTCCCAGGGTGCCCTGCTGGCTGCCCGGGCCACAAGGTAACTTCTGACCTAATGCTCTGCCGGAACCAGTTCCGACTGACCTTAAATGCGATTCAGCGTCCAATCAGTGTGGATGCGCTATTTTGAAATGCATTTTGTGTGTAGACGCATTATTTCAAAATAAGGTATTTTGAAATAACTATTTTGAAATTAAATATTTCGAAATAACGCTGTAGTGTAGTGATACCCTTAGGTGCCACAGGACTGCTCATTGGTTTAACGCAGCCGCCCCGCTGAACCCGAGTGAAGAGGGAACAGAAGAAGTTGAGCAGTTTTGATTTCCCCAAGATTCCTCATCTGTATCTCTGACTTACAGCTTCAGGGGAACAGCATAAAAGCTCGATCATAAAATCACATACATCCAGCGTTAGGGGCGAGCTGAGCTCCGACGCGTGTCTCCTCTGTCCATTTGCGAGTGTGTGCTTGTTTGCGTTGTCCTTTGCCAAATGTGTCCCATTTCGCATTGACACCTTGCTTCCGCTGTCTCCTTGAATTGCTTTTGCCGTTTAGCTTACAACGTTCCAGGCCTAGGTCGTAGGGGGCTCCTGTTCGGCTCTGGATGTGCCGAAGTACCCGGGAATTACAATAACGTGAAGAATTCACATTTTATTGCACATTGCCGCTTGGACTCTGTATTGCATGACCTGCTCGGTGTTTCCAACCTTGCCGAGATACCGGTTGAGTCGGGACTAGTCAGAAATAAGCGATCTACACAACAAGACGACCAAATGTTTCTGATGAGACTGTTTCGATAATCCTGTTTTACGGGGTGGCCTTGTGAGGGTAAAAATAAGGTGGATAACCACATATATAGTTTGTACCCTTGAGCAAGCTAAGGCAACATCCGTGTCCCTTGTGCACAGCATTTGCATCTTTTACTAGTTTCATCTCTGAGCTCTTTCTCCCCTTCCTGCAGGGACATTGACCGTGTTGATCAAACCTGGTGAGCATTTGCAACAGCCTCTGTCTGCTTCTCTGGATTTCCTCACTAACGTCTCCAAACTAACTTTGTTTCCCCCCCTCCCTTCACTTTTGTTCGTCACTTGTCCAGAAAACAGGAGAAATGAGTCCTGAGTGGATAATGCGGACTGCTGGGATTTTAGTTACTTTAGGACTCCGATTTTTGTTAATAATGCACCTCGCAGTTCAACCTAACTGCTGCTTTCGGGAGTCATTTGTTGGACAAACAAGGAACGAATGCAGAGTGGGTGTATGTGGCCTGGATTTTTAGCAGGGAGAGTAGTTGGCCGTTGGAACAATTTACCAAGAGTCGTGGTGGAGTCTCCGTCACTGACAAATTGTAAATCAAGATTGGATGCTTAGCCTACAGTTGAATCTGCTCTAGGTCAAGGGATCAGATAGATAGTCATTCGGGAGTCATCCTGAAATAGCTACCCTGTGTCTACACACTGTTATTTCGAAATATTTTCGAACTAATGGGCGCGCTATTTCACCATCCCGGTAAACCTCATTGCATGAAAGATAATGGCTTGAAGTAGCACGTTATTTTGAAATTTGGCACGGTGTAGACGCCACCAAATTTCAAAGCAAGCTGATTCAAAATAAGATGCGCAATTTGTGTCACGCACATTGCGTATCTTATTTCGAGTATAGGGTCTGTGTAGATGCACCTTGTGAGTGCTTCGCTTCTATTTGCAGGGAGCCTGACAGG